AGTCAGAGCCCCTATAGAATCAGATAACCTGGGAGGGTTCCAACATCCCATTAAAAGGCTATTTGGTAATCACCTTCACTTATCCCAAACTCTTAAATGTTTCCTTGCAAATGAGTGATTTCCCATGGGATATTTCTGCTAGTTACTCCATCCCAGGAATGAGTTTCCATTTATCCTTAGGAAGTCTTAGATTGTAGGCTTTCAAGGTTGACAAGCCTTGAGGTCAGAATCTCCATGTAGCATTGCTAACGTGTGGCTTCATGCAGATCAGCTGGCTAAATCCCCCTCTTACTAGAACTGTGGGGACCTAAGTGTCCGACAAGTAGTAATACAGAACCACTTTCTTGATCTTTTTACTCTGTGCAAGTCACAATTCCTAATGCAATCTGTTCAACACACTACCATCTCTGATCTATATTCGTGGGAACTGAGGTCCCAGGAAGTTCTGCCCTGGACCAGAGTCAGGCTCTTTGGAGTTGGGATGTCATGTGGGGCAGTTAGTGTTTGCTGTGCTCAGGGCTGCCAGTCTTTGCATGAACTGGTTTGACTGTCCTTGCTAAGGTGCCAGCTATGAGACTGGTGGTCCATCTCTCTTTCACCTGATTGCTGTACCCAGTTGGCACTGGATTGTGGCATAGGTGCGTGGCTCATTGCTCTTTCTAGGCCTTGCTGGGTCAAGGCTTCAGGGTCTATTTGTGTGTTTATTTTTCAGGTTCTTGTTGTCTATTTGTAATTTTTATTGACATATACTTACAGAAAAAATACAGCTCAGTGAATTTCCACAAAGTGAACACAAATACACACAAGAGCACTCAGATCAAGAAACAGAACATTGCTAGCATCCCAAGACCACCTCACATGGAATCTAGTCCTCACCCCTAGGGTGACCATTCCCCTGACCTCTAATAGCATAGCATATGTTGATATAAAGGCAATCATAGTCCACAGTGTGTGTGTGTGTGTGTGTGTGTGTGTGTGTTTGGGGGTGTGTGTGTTCATTCATCAATGTTCTGTCAGTGAGATTTATCCACATTGTTGAATGTAGTTGATTTGTTTGTTCCCAGTGATGCATAAAGATACAATTAATTTATCTTCTATATAATGGGCAGACATTTGAGAAGATTCTACTTTGTGGTTACAGTATATGCCTTTTGGCCCACAGGGTCCCATATTTTTGTAGTATTTTTTTAAGTTATTGAGTTACTTAGAAAGACATTTTCTTGACTCAGGCTTAACAGATGGGTCTGCCTCATTTCTCCTTCACCACTACCAGCAACTTTTCTTTCATACTTTTCCTTTGTTAGGGTCAAAGATGCCATACCATTTGCAGGCCCCTAATATGTGCTGAGCAAGGTCCAAAGCTGACCTGTTATGGCTCTAATGTTTACAAGACCAGCTCTTTATATCCACATCCGCAGAGAGCAGTATCAGCTTCCTAGGGCAGGCTCACAGTCCCCGGGAGGACCTCGGGAACTCAACAGTTGACCCTGTAACTCGTTTCCCCTCAGACTCAGTTTTCCCACTGTGGAGACGATGCTTTCTGTATTCCTCTTCTCTGAGTCCTGATGGAAAAGCATTTCTATTCTATTGAAAAGAATCCTCCTGCTTTGTTCTGCTCCTAAGATGGATGAAAGTGGCTTCTCTCCTCACCTCACAGCCTCTTCCTTTTTCTCCTCTGCCCACACAGGGGCTGGATCGGGTCCAGGTCTTTACTTTCGTTGTTTGTCCGGTGCAGTGGATTCAGCCTGTCTTTCTCTGAGATGTTTTGATCATTGGTGGTTTCTGTTTCCTCCCCTTCCCCTCAGGCCCCCTTAGTCATTTCCTTACCTGAAATCTCTTTTTCCAGATTGGCAGCCCTCCTGCTCCCAGAATGCCTGGCGATGACTTTCCACCAGGAAGGGTAAAGCACAGGTCTCTTAGATGAAGCAGGTCAGGTCAAAGGTTTATACACTGACTTGGTAAAGTATGAGGCATAAACAGTTGTGAGAGCCAACCAGAAAGAAGAATGTGAGTCAGACAACTAAAGGGATAAAAACAGGAGGAAGCACGGGCTTCAGAGTTGGGCTGAGCTTCCTTGTAATGAAAGAAATGAAAGATTATAGTGTTGCTATTACCATGACAATAGACTAAACCTTGGAAATAATATTTATAATAGGTTTGAGAGACTGTCTTATTATTATTTCTCTTGAACACCCAGCATAGTGTGGTCTATAAACATTTTTAAGGCTAAATTAACAAGTTCCTATTATCCCTGGATCATATGTATTGAATATTCACTAGATAGCGGGTAGTTCCCAATGTGTCACACCTCCAGCAGGTGGATGCTATGCTTCCCCTGTGTTCAAATGTAGAGAGCAGAGCTCAGGGGGTAACTTTCCGGAAGTCATAGCTCTCAGTGGACAGTTTCTGATTTAAACTCCCATGAACTAGTAGAGCCAACCTCTAAGGAATCTGAAATGACAAAATAAATGGGTATTCAGGGGCATTTCCATTTACCAGACAATAATACCAACATGTGGGGAGCGACTGCCAGAAGCTTGGGCAGGCTGTACTCCCCTCCACTGGAAGCTGTCAGACTTCCAAACTAACAAACCTTTGCCACGTCTGCCCCTACTGCCTGATTGGAGCATTGCTGCTCTCTCTCTCCCAGCTTGACAACACATCCTCCTAAGTAAGGGTAGTGGTGCTGGGAGAGCCTCGTTGTCATTTTTTAGGGAGTGGTGTATTGCCTAAATTCCAAATTGGAACCTATGCTCGGACAAGTAAGAATGTCTTAGCATAGGCTCTGTGAAACTGACTGCTGTCCTGGCCATTTTACACCAGAGGAGCTAAAGGTTTGGAAGACATGGGTTCCAACAGAGTCACATCTTCAAGAGAGAGATCCGGTTTAAACATTGAGTTTTTACTAACAGAATCTGGAGATTTCCCATGTGTGATGGGTTATGTGCGGGTAGAAGAGGGGATCTCCGGTCAGTAGGCAACAAACAATGAAAATAGGGAGGTAAAAGGGATGCATCATAAAATGGAGAAATAACTTCCTAAATTCAGTTGAGCATCTAACTGAAAGTATCACATATTCCAATTCATTTCCAAGTTCAGTTTAGCCAGAGGTCAGCCCCGGAGCTGATACAAGAGATGAAAGAGAGTCCAACGAGCATTATTTCAGGACGTCTGCGTCACGTACTACTTGGTGAAAAGTGATTCTTAGAAATACAGAATGGCAACTTCCAACAGCCATTTCCCAATCTGAGAAAGACCTTCAGAACCTGATTAATTCCCACTTGGAAAGAGAAACGTACCATCTCAGTGAAAGCCTGGTGTAAGGGAGGCAATCAACACACAGAGAGAAGGCGTATCTGCGCTCACAACTTGACAGTGATAAAGCTTGCACACACGGGTTTTACTGGTGACACACACAATCTGGAAACTGACAACAACAGAATCTGTGGCGCATTCAAGAGTAGCAAGCGCTTCACAATATACAAGATTTTTGAAGAGATACTAGGATTTTCAAATATGTGTCCATCAGCACATACCACTGCACCGTGCAACCTGTGGGAACACGTGTTGCTCGTGTAAAGAGACTAAGTTCAACCATTAACCAGGGGTTTGATTCTGAGAGAACCTTCGTCCATCGGCCCAGCACTTCTCTTTCTGTCCTGTCCAGGTTCCTACTCCAAACTCCTGGGGTTTTTTCCCCCAACATCACTTTGTGTCCACATTATCTAGGTATAACTCTTTCAACTTCCCGCTTCACTATAAAAAGATAGGCTCGGATGCACATTTACATATGAAATCAAAGTAGATATTCCAGGAAAATTAGGTGAGTGAAAAATACTGGTAAGAAGTCTCTTCAACCACACAGCTCCAGAGACAGCAATAATAATCAATAGACTATTATAATTATTATAATTAGAACAATATATTATTCTATTATACTTAGAATATTCTGATATAATTAGCAATAGAATATCAAGTGAACTAGCTTGAGTCACGGACCCTCACCTTGATCATGAGAGTCAAAATTACTTGGATGAAGCCGGGCGGTGGTGGCGCAAGCCTTTAATCCCAGCACTCGGGAGGCAGAGCCAGGCGGATTTCTGTGAGTTCGAGGCCAGCCTGGGCTACCAAGTGAGTTCCAGGAAAGGCGCAAAGCTACACAGAGAAACCCTGTCTCGAAAAACCAAAAAAAAAAAAAAAAAAAAAAAAAAATTACTTGGATGATTATCTAGATCTGTAAACAGACAGATTTGTGTGGATAGTTACCCACTATCTGTCTTTAAACCATATAACTTCAAGCTGAAATATGTCCTTCCTAACAATGTTCATCCTTGAATTTTTTAGGATATCTATGAACAAGTATGTCTCTGTCGAGCTGATCTTGGCAGTGAATAAGGAAAGTCAGATTAGGAAGGGAGAAAGAGTGAGGTGGGTAACAAAAGACAGTTCATGCTTTAAGGCTCCTACATATATTTTACACCCATCTGTGGCCTTGTTACTAAGCGGTAAGGCAAAAGAATGTTCATGCAGGGCATGATGGCTGTCAGCTGGATGGAAACATGTCATGTTCGTAAGGGAGCTTTAACTTTCAGTTTTTAAGTTACCGAATGCTGACTATTACATATATTTACAGTGACTTTAGAACACAAAGTGATATAGAGAAAATTAATCGTTTATTTGACTCCTTCTAGAGAGCTAATTCCATGGTGTACATTTGATCTATGGCTATAGTGATTCAGTGGGCCAGTTATTTGCTAAATCTCTAAGGTAACTATTAAATCTGAGGTAGGATGAAAAAAAAAAAAAGATTTGCAACAAAGGTTGTAAACAAAGGTTTGACCTTTGTTCTTGGAAAGAATGGGGTCATGGGGGGGCATGGTAAGAATGTATGTCAAATGAAGAGATAGCTTTAGAAGTCAGGGCCCACTGGGATGCTGCATTAGATGTCGACAGAGAGGACTCTCCTTTCCCCAAACTGAACTAAAGGAACTAAGCAACAATGCAAACAAAAAACAAAGACTTATTTATTTGAGGTGCACCATGTGATTTCCCTCTACATCACGTACAGAGTCCTAACGCTATTTTACTTAAGCTAGTATTAATTAGGTCTGTTTGACTTGAATTTATGCCTACTACGGTCAAACTCCATGTCTGGGAGCATGAATTGAGAGTATGAAAGGATACTCTTCATGTTTAACTTTTGCCCCAAACAGCTTACATGTGGGTCCATCAGAAGTAACTGGGCTTAACTTGTGGGAAGAGTCTAGACTGTTGCTTCCTATCCACTCTTAACACACATGCACATACACACGAAAATTCCTTTATTCCTTTATCCACAGTAACAGGTTTGCTTGGCCTTTCTAACAACTCGAGTCCTTCTGCCAGAGGCGTTGGCTGAGCTGACGAGAGCAGCATTGGGACTCTGGCAGGAGACCAGACAGGTTTAACTGATGACTTGTCTTTCCCAAAGTATAGTTTGTAGGCTCTGTCCTTTAAGACGTCAGTCTCTCTCCTTTCCTTTGCATATTGGCTCTCTGGATGAGTGCCCATCTTGCTGAAAAACCACAAGAGCTATGATCATAAGACGCTTCAAGCCATCACAGATTCATTGTGAGGTTGAACCACTCGTCCACTAAAATGGATGGCTTCCATGTCACTACTGACACAGTTTTTTTACTGCTTGAGGTACTTGTCTGAATTCCTCGGGGTGAAAACTATTTCCACGAGGTGCTGGCTGTCCTCATCTGGGTGCAAGGACAAATCGTTTTTTTTCGGTATGTTTTCCATACATCTTTCTTGCAATGTCTTCACATGGAACCGCTTCAAAACTGTGACCAGGACGACTTTCATCATCACCATGGCGATGTACTTCCCGGCGCAGCTGCGGGGCCCAAAGCCAAATGGCTGGAAATACCTGTAGGGAACCTGTGAAAACGAACAGATGGTTATGCAGGGTCACACAGCCGTCTATGGAAACACTTGTCAGTCAGAATGCCTCGGCTTGACCCTCAGCCACCCTGCTTCCTCCCAGAGACAAACAGCTGTGGCTGAAGAAGCACCCTTCTCATCCACTGTGCCTCTCTTGTGACACAGACAGTCCCGGCCTCAGATCGTCCCTGATTTTGCTGTACATGTCAGTAAGCTGGATTGTCAGGGCAAGTCACCACATGGGCAGTATTAGTTATCCAGAAACTCTGCTTTCCTAGTGCTTTGCAAGTTACTGAGACAAAGTTTATTTTTGTGTGACCCGTATAGTGGATAACATGAAGATAAAAGATATGGATTTCCAGACGATTAGTGTCAAGCTTCTTGTGTATGTGAGAGTGGAGGGATCTCTGTGGCCTGGGCTGGCCCCAGAATTCTAGTCCTCTTGCCTCTACCTCAGAGTGTAGGATTCCAGGAATGCGCCACTACACCAGGTCTTCTAACTACTTTTAGTTACTGTGAAAATTAATGTGGATCATGTCTGTCTGTCTTGTCCGATCTAGATTTACATGACTTCGACATACTAGCACTACAAAATAAATAAAATTTATTGACCAGTTGACAAGGCATTGTCTGGGTTTCCTGTCTAGAAACATTAATCAGAGTGCCGAATCAACGCTGGGTCTCTAGGCTACATGCAAGTAGGAAAGGAAGCAACAGGGAGCTATTTGGAAAATTCTGTCCTAACAACATTGTTTTGACATAATGAAGCAAAAATCTCTCCTATATTCCAGCTAGATAAAGAAGAAGGCTGATGCTTTTAATCATTGAGTTTTATTTGGAGTAAGATCCACTGCTTGAGGCCATTTGATAGAATAAAGGCAGTGATAAAACTAAATTTTGTTTGATTTCTATCTAAAGCAGAAATGGATTTCCTTTGCTTAGCTGGTGGAACTGTTGAAGCTAGATGATGCTAGAGCGATGTATTTACTGGTTTTTTTAAATTTTTACTTTATTATAGAAGAAGTGATAAATTCTGGGCCAGAGAGATGGCTTGGTGGTTAAGAGCACTGGCTGATTTTCCAGAGGTCCCAGGGTCAGTTCGCAGTACGCACATGGTGGTTCACAACCCTCCATAACTCCAAGAGATGCGATACCCTCTTCTGAACTCTGTGTGTACCAGGCACATACATGGTACACTTACATGCATGCAGGCAAATTACTCATATGCATAAGAGATTTTTTAAAAATTAAATGATAAATTTGAGTGGAAGAGTTATTTAATCAGTTGCCTTAAATAACTCTTTGCCCAATTAAGGATTTTTCATATTTTGCTTTCCTGGGTGGCAAATTTACAGAGATTTTACACACACCAATAGCTTTGGCTTGGGATGAATGTGTTGGCCATGTTCTAAGCTATAGGGCACAGGTGCTCCCATGAAGCCGTTGAAGGGTGAGTGAAGGAAGCTAAGGACGTCCTGCCCAAGCACAGAACTGGAGCAGGTCTGACCACACCACCAGAAACAGCATGCTCAGGTCCAAGGAGGAGCTCTTACATTTTTTTCAAAGTTTTCTAAGGTAAATTCATTGGGCTTGGGGAAATACTCCAGTCTGTGCATTCTTCCGATATTCAGAATGATGTTCGTTCCCTTTTTGACTGGGTAGCCATCAATCACATCATCATCCAGGGCTCGACGCATGACCAAGTCCACAACGGGCTGGTACCGCAAGCTTTCATTAATGAAGTTTTCTACCACTTTTAAATTTTGGATATCCTCAATCCTTATGTCTCTGTCACCTGTGGAACAGACCAGAAGGACAAAGACAGCAATGCTAGTTTTACATGTGACAAGCGCTATAGCTCCTCCTTTTTTCCATAGAAGAAGTTGTTCTTGGTTAAAAAAAAAAAAATGCTTGTAATTCTAGTGCATACCACCCACTGGAAACAGTTGTGTTATATTTGGTCTGCAAAGGTCTTTATAAAAGTTCAGACGTGAAATCATTTCTGGAAATTTTCATAACCACAACAAAAAAGATTTCCTAAAAATATCAGAAAATTTGCTCATGCAAGACCCACATTCCCACCTGCAGACAATGGGCAGAAGATGTGGTGGGGGCAGCTACCCCTTCAGAGGGACATACACTCTGTAATTCCATGTCGGCCACACCTACTCCACATCTCATACTCCTCTTGTCTGTGCGCCTCAAGTCTTTGAGTGTTCCATCTACTCCACATTCTAGGGAACATTTACTTTGTCTCTTAATATGTGAGCCTACTAGCACAATAACCATCCCAAACATGGGTGCACAGGCTGCTGCAGGGTCAGGGAGATCAACTGAGTCCATTTTATAATGTCACTCCTGTGGTGGTATTTTACTTATACTGAAATGTGATTTTAATTGTATGTTAATAAATAAAGTTGTCTGGGGGTCAGAGCTATTAGAGTCATAGCAAGTGCATGGCGGCGGTGGCGCACGCCTTTAAGGACCTGGAGGGCGGTACATTCAGGTAGTGACGAGGCAGTCACATGTTTGGGTTTACAACCAATGAGAAGGCAGAACAGGAAGACTTTAAAGACAAACACACAGGAAGTAGGTCCTTTTCGGAGAGCTCTCTTACCTGGAGAGGATCCCTGAATCAGGAAGGGTGAGGCTCTTAGCTCTGACCTCTTGGCTTTCTTCTCTGAATTGGCTCTGTGTTTCTTATTTGGTTACATCTACATTTGGCGCCCAACGTGACAAGAATCCATTAAAAACCGCTTAACTTGGCTTGGCGGCAGGTCCGGTTTCCCGCCAGGGCGGCCGGCAGGTCCCGTTTCCGCCAGGGCGACCGGCTCCCTAGCCCGGGCCCAGGTCGGCTTGGCCTCAGGCCGGACTAACTTTGAGCTACTTGCTTAAAGCCGGTGCTACAGACAATTCAGGCCTGCCCTGCCGAACAGGGCCCCTGCCTGTAAAGCCAACACACGTGGTTGGAGCTTAAGGTAGCCAGAGCCAAGGCTTGACTAGGCTCAAGCGGGAACAGGTGCCTGGATTCAAGTTCTTAGTCAGAACTTGTGGCTACGGTTCTTGCGTGTTCTCTCTCTCTCTCTCTCTCTCTCTCTCTCTGGATTCACACCTCGGACACTAGGAGGCTGTTTTGAAATTCCCTTGGATTGGTACTGTTCTACGAGGACTTGGTAAGTCACTTAACATATCGAATATTTTAAAGGAAACTATTTAAAAGAGAAATTTTTTTCCACATTTAAAAAAAAATGGGTTTTCTGTGTTCATTGGAAGAAAATTGGGCTTTGTTTGCAATTTTAGACAGTCTGACAATGGAACAGCTATATGAGAAGATTAATGTTGACCGAATTATGCATTTTATTACTATGCTTATTCTCATTTTACTATTTAAAAAAGATAGTCAATTTAAGTGCCAGGATGACAGCTTTAGAAAAACTTGATAAACCTGTAAAAACTCAGACAGAAGAAACTAACAGTGAAGTTGCTTCAAGATTGGATCATAGGGTTACAGAAAGAAAGCCTGTGTTCACACAGTCACCCTTAGTTTGTCCAGTAACCGTACAGCAGTTGCCTGATCAAATGACTACACAAAATATTTGGGCTCCAATTGAAATGTTAGATTTACGAAGGTTTAAGGAGGCAATAGTATCTTATGGCATGCATTCCCCATATGTAAAGCAAATGTTAAACTCTTGGTCAACATATAATAGGATTGTACCACAGGATTGGCGGGAGCTGGCACAAGCTGTTCTTGAACCCAGTCAAAGGCTTCAGTGGCTAACTTGGTTCAAGGATGAAGCTAAAAACATAGAAAAACAGTGGAGGGATAAAGGAATACAAGTCTGCCAGGATCAGCTTATTGGAGAAGGTCAATATGCTTCAGCACAAGCACAATGTTTATATGATGTCCAAACCCTAATTTTATGTCGAACAGCAGCCTTGAATGCATGGGACAGAGTTGAGGAACCAGGAAAAAAAACTGAGTCATTTACAAAGGTTGTACAAGGCCCAAAAGAATCTTTCACAGATTTTTTACAAAGACTGGCTTCAGCAGTAAAGAGAATGGTCCCGGATTCAGAAGCTAGTAAGATAATAATTGAAACTTTGGCCTTTGAGAATGCGAATGCAGCATGCAAAACAATAATCAGGCCATTAAAGGCAAGATCTGCACCTTTGGAAGATTGGATTAGAGACACGGTTAATGTTGAAGCTCATGAGCATGATGATACGTGGGTAGGAGAAGCAATTTCAAAAGGTTTGAGGAATGTTAGATGTTTTGGATGTGGAAAGGAAGGACATTTGAAAAGGGACTGTAAACAGGTCATTCCTAGAAACAATGTTTCTTCAAGGAACAATGGCAACAGACTGCCCCTTCCTTCTGGAGTATGCAGAAGGTGTGGTAAGGGAAAACACTGGACCAACGAGTGTAGATCAACAAGGGACAGACAGGGTAATCCTTTGCCTCAGTCTTCGGGAAACTCCCAGAGGGGCCTCATGCAGGCCCCAATAGCAAATCCAGTTCAAACCTTTCCTGCAGTCGTAGAGGAAACTCCTACTCAGAGCAATTAAATAACCAAATGCCTATTGGAATAAGTCATGCTGGTCAGGATGATGAAACAGAGAGAATAGAAAATTCAGGAGAAAACATAAAGAAAATTTTTTGGCAAACTTCTATTAATGAACAAAGACCAAAATTATCGATAAAAATAAATGGTGTTTTGTTGTCTGGTCTGGTAGACACAGGTGCGGACGTTACCATAATTGCACCAGAATTTTGGCATCCAACTTGGCCTCTTCAGGAGGTAAACATTCAACTGTTAGGAATTGGGACATTATCTCAGGTGAAACAGAGTGCAAGATGGCTCAAATGTATAGGTCCAGAAGGACAGAGAACAAAATTAAAACCATATGTGGCTAACATAGCTATGAACCTGTGGGGTCGAGACTTGTTACAACAATGGAATACTCAGATTAACATCCCTCCAATCTCAGAAACAAATCATAAACTAGCACATGTTTCTGAGAGAAATATTAGAAGGCATTATTCTGAGTGGTCACCAGCCATCCATATTATACAAGAACAGGGCACAACAACTGATGATCTTCCAAAGACATCAACAGCTCTACCTTTAAAATGGTTAACAGACAAGCCTGTATGGGTCCAGCAATGGCCTTTAACAACAGAGAAACTCCAGGCTTTAGAAGAGCTGGTAGAAAAACAGTTAAATGCTCAGCATATTGAAGAATCAACCAGCCCTTGGAATTCTCCTGTATTTGTTATTAAGAAGAAATCTGGTAAATGGAGAATGGTAACAGACCTTAGAGCAATTAACAAAGTAATTCAGCCAATGGGCTCTCTACAATCTGGAATTCCTTTGCCTACTCTGTTACCAAAAGGATGGCCTCTCATAGTTATTGATTTAAAAGACTGTTTCTTTTCAATACCCTTACAAGAAAAAAGACAGAGAAAGATTTGCTTTCACAGTGCCTACTTACAATAATTCTCAACCGGTTAAAAGATTTCAATGGAGAGTCCTCCCACAAGGAATGTTGAATAGCCCAACTCTGTGCCAATATTTTGTACAACAGCCATTGGAAGTGATACGTAAAAAATTTCCTAAATCTATAATTTATCATTATATGGATGATATTTTTCTAGCTGACTCAAATGCAGATACTTTAGAAAGAATGTTTGAAGAAGTAAAGAAAATTTTGCCTTGCTGGGGATTACAAATTGCTCCTGAAAAGATACAAAGAGGAGATTCTATTAATTACTTAGGATATAAAATAGAGCTACAAAAAATTAGACCCCAAAAGGTGCAAATTAGGAGAGATAGACTACAGACTCTTAATGACTTTCAAAGATTATTTAGAGATATTTCTCATCTAAGAACTATTGTTGGGGTAAAAAATGATGAACTGCATAATTTGTTCAAAACCTTAGAAGGTGACAAGGACTTAAATAGTCCAAGAGAATTATCACCTGAAGCTGAGAAAGAATTGGCCTTGGTAGAAAAGAAAGTACATGAAGGACACGTGGATCGTATTGATCCAAAGCTGGATTGCATTTTGGTTATTTTACCTTCTAGACATTCTCCTACAGGAATATTAATGCAGAGGGAAGATATTATATTAGAATGGATATTTTTACCAAATAAACCAAATAAAAAATTAAAAACTTATGTGGAAAAAATCTCTGACTTGATTTGGAAAGGAAAATCGAGACTTCGTCAATTAGCAGGAATAGATCCAGCAGAAATTGTCGTACCTTTAACTAAGGAGGATATTGAAAAATTATGGACAGAAAGTGAACCTTGGCAAAGAGCTTGCAGTAATTTTTTGGGAGAAATTAACAGCAAATATCCCAAAAGCGATAGAATTGATCTTATAAAGAGAGCTGATTGGATCTTGCCTCGAATTGTACGGGAAAAACCCATATCTGGAGTTCGTACATTTTATACAGATGCCAACAAACAAGGAAAGGCAGGTTACAAATCAGAAAATTTAAGTAAAGTGGTTCAAAGTCCTTATAATTCAGTTCAAAAATCAGAATTGTATGCTATTCTGTTGGTATTAATGGATTTTTCAGAACCTCTCAACATAGTAACCGACTCTCAGTATGCTGAAAGAGTAGTATTACATATTGAAACTGCAGAATTTATCCCTGATGCTTCAGAATTAACTTCACTATTTATTCAATTACAAGATACAATCAGGAAAAGGAGTCATCCTTTATATATAACTCACATTTGATCCCATACTGGTCTGCCAGGCCCTCTAGCACAAGGCAATGAT